GCAGGGAGGCAGGGAATTGGGCAGGGAGGCAGGGAATTGGGCAGGGAGGGAGGGAGTTGAGCAGGGAGGCAGGGAATTGGGCAGGAAGGCAGGCAGGGAAGCGGGCACAGCTGCTGGCCAGCAGCCATGGACCAAACACCAGCATCTGCCAGCCTGGTGGAGGGCTGCCAGGCTGGAGAGAGGGAGAGAAAGCAACACATTTGTGCCAAACTCAGGCTCTTGGAGAGTGGGAGAAAGGGATGTATTGGATCAGCATGCACCTGCTCGGACTGGCTATTCAAATGTTGATGTGCATCTGGGGAATGGCAGCTCTGTGACAACGGGGAGTGGCTCAGGAATGGCAGCAGAGAGTGGACACGCATCCCTGTGTGTCCAGATCAGCTCTGTAGCCATGGGGAATGGCAGAACTGAATGGATGCTCATCCCTGGGTGCCCAGGTGCCAGCAGGTCCCCTTCAGGCACAGCAGCCTGAGTGCTGAGTGCTGTGCAAGGCCAGGCTGGCCTGGTGCAGGCTGCTGTGGGACAGCTGGCTCCAGGAATGCCAGCAACAGCAGCTCAGGGCTGTGGGGTGGGCGTGGACAATCCTGCCTGGCTGCAGCTGCAATCCCACGGCCTGTTTGCTGTTGTGCAGTGCTGGAGTCCCTGAGACTCTGAGCTTGCCCAGCTCCGGCCTCGCTGCGGCCGATCGATGCCTGCCATTGACAGGTCCCTGTGACCGTGCCCAGCAGGGAGGTGGCCCGTGTGGCAGGGCCCCCCGTGGGCACAGGCTGGGCCCTGCCTCCCCTGGTGACTCCCCTGTGTGTTTTGGCAGGACCAGGACGGAGCCCTGTCGCACACAGAGCTGCAGAACTTCTTCAGCGTGTTCCCCTGCGTGCCCTGGGGCCCCGAGCTCTACAACACGGTATGCACCACTGATAAAGGCCTGCTTTCCCTGCATGGATTCCTCTGCCAGTGGACGTAAGCTCAGTCCCTCTCCCTGGCCCTTGGTCACCTCAGTGAGCCCTTGCTGACCCTGCTGCTGTGCTCTGTCTCTGCAGGCTCGTGGCTTACCTGGACGTGCGGCACTGCCTGGAGTGCCTGGGCTACCTGGGCTACCCCATCCTCTCGGAGCAGGACTCCCAGACCCAAGCCCTCACAGGTACAGCCATGCCCTCCCCTTCTGTCACAGCTTGGGTCCCTCCTGGCTCTCACCACCCTCTCTGCTGCCAGTGACCCGGGAGAAGAGGATTGACCTGGAGAAGGGGCAGACGCAGAGGAATGTGTTCCTGTGCAAGGTGCTGGGAGCGCGGGGCGCAGGCAAGTCCGCCTTCCTGCAGGCCTTCCTCGGCAGGAGCCTGGCGGTGAGTGGCTGCTCCCTGCCTGGCCACGCTCCCAGGATGGAGCAGGAGGCACAGCTGGGGGTCCTGGAGCCATCTGTCCCATGGTGGCACCTCCCTGCCCCTGGCCAGGCCCCTCTGTGTGCTGCCCTTCCTGCCCATGCTCCACATCCCCTCTGTGCTTTGGTGGCTTTGGTGTCCTTACTGTGGGTAAAGCAGTGGGTCTGCTCCCTCTGCTTGTCCCTTTCCCTGCTCTGACCTGACTTTCCCTGCCCGTTAGGAGCAGCCCCACATCTCATGACAGGCCCTGGCTGCCCTTCAGGGGTCTGTCAGGCCAGGGGGGCTCAGGGCAGTGTGAAACAGTCCCTCACCCAGGGAGGTGAGGGTGGGTCACAAGTAGTGACCACTACTTGGTGTCACGGGGCCAGAGCAGGGCATGGCTCTCACTTGTTCTTGGCCAAGTCTGCTCAGGTCCCCACAACCTGAGATGGTGTTTTCCTTGTGACAGGCCCAGAGGGAGAAGCCAGGAAAGCCATCCCTCTACACCATCAACACAGTGCAGGTCAATGGCCAGGAGAAGTACCTCATAGTAAGTGTGGGAGGGCAGGGAGTTGTGCCTGGCTCTTAGCAGGGCTGGGCTGTGCCTGTGGCTGTGCTGGCACTGTCCTTGGGCTGCTGTGAGGAGCAGCTGAGCCCTGGGACCCTGCAGTGCCACATTGCTGTCCCCTGTGCTGCAGCTGTCCGAGGTCAGCGCTGACAGCACCTTCTCCAAGCCGTCGGACACCGCCTGCGACGTCGCCTGCTTCATCTACAGCCTGAGCGACCCCAAATCCTTCAGCTACTGTGCCAGCATCTACAAGGTACCTGGCAGGGACCCTGGGGGCCTTCACAGGGCTCCTGGGCAACCCAGGGGTCCTGTTAGACCTACCAGGGGCACAGGGGACATCAGCCTCTCCCGGGGTTGGTCCCTAACCCCTCGCTGGGGTTTCCGTCTCTGCAGCAACACTACGTGGACAGCCAGATCCCCTGTGTGTTCGTGGCCTCCAAGACAGACCTGCCAGAAGCCAGCCAGCAGCCAGGGCTCTTCCCAGCTGAGTTCTGCTACAAGCACTGCCTGCCTCCACCCTTCCCCTTCTCCTGCCACAGCCAGGGACCACCCAGCACTGCTGTCTACACCAAACTGGCCACTGCTGCCACCTTCCCGTTAGTATCCTTCCCATGGGGGGCTGTGTCCCAGCCCTGCCTCTGCCACATGGCTTTTGCTTGGTTTCTCTGCAGCTTTTGGTGTCATCTGGGACATGCAATGATAGGACAAGAGGGGATGGCCTTAAGCTGAAGGAGGACAGGATTAGATGGGATATTGGGAAGGAATTGCTCCCTGTGAGGGTGGGCAGGCCCTGGCACAGGGTGCCCACCCTGGATCCCTGGCAGTGCCCAAGGCCAGGCTGGGCAGGGCTGGGAGCAGCCTGGGACAGTGGGAGCTGTCCCTGCCCATGGCAGGGGTAGAATGAGATGAGCTTTAATGTTCCTTTCCAATCAAATCATTCCAGGATTCTGTGATTCTGTGATCTGCTTATACAAATAATTGAAACAGAAAAGCCACTTCTTCTCTAATTGCAGAGGGGGGAGGTTTTCTTCTGCCTGTGTGTATGTCTCTGGCAGATTTAGTAGATAGATCCTGCCACAGGAGTGTTTATTTTTGAAGCCTAAGATAAAAAATGCTGAAGAGGAGTAGCCAGCTTAGTTTGCCAAGGCCCACGGGGGGAGGGTGGCAGCTATTTTCTCCCGATGAGATGGATCAGGCTGGAAAAGAGGTCAGAGAAGCCAGACCTCTGTCATACAGAGAAACTGCACCCCAGAGGGGCTGCAATGGGGTAGGACAGCACCAGGCTGGTCACAGGAGCTGAGGGGGGCTCTGAGGAGAGAGGAGGCTCCCTGTGAGTGGAATCACTCTGCTCCAGGGCTGGGCAGGGCCAGCGCAGCTCCAGGGGCCGAGCCCTGGCGGGGAGAGCGTGTGGGAGCGTTGGAAGGCAGGATGGGATTACTAGTGAGTAGTTTTCCCTCCAGCTTCTTTTCAATAAACAACTTTATTTTTAGAGCTGACGCTTTTTTTTTTTTTTTCCCTCCCCTCTGCAGTATTAAAATTTAAATATTCTTAATATATCTTAGGGTATGTGGTATAAATAAATAACAGCGTAATGGAGGGCCGGGGATTGGCTGTGCTCCCCCGATGTAGTGGGGAATGAATTATGGATGGAGGCAGAGAGAGGAGAGGAGCTGTTAGTGCAGGACAGCACGTGCTAGGGGAGGGAATGTGTACACTGGGGCAGCACCAGGGCCTGTCCCTCGCTGTCCTTTGGTCCCTGTCACCAGTGTCCCCGTGGTGGCATCCCGGGGAGTTGCAAAGGCAGCCTGACCTAGAAAGGCACATACCTGTCTAATTATTGAGGTGTTGGAGAGCTGTTTCCAGGGCAGGGGAGGGGACAGCCACATCCATCCCACAGCCCCCCCTTGGCTTGGTGGTGATGCTGGGTGATGAGAGCTCTGCTTGCAGGGATGGGGAATCTCTCAGATTCTCACTGGGCTCATCCCCTGGCACTCCCTGTGTGGGCTGGGAGCCCCGGGACAGCCGCACTCACCGGCCTCTCCTCTCTCCTGTGTTTGTTTGCTTGCAGGCACCTGAACGCCGTGGAGCTGGGAGTGGCGTCCTTCTGGCTGCGGGTGGCGCTGGGGGCGGCGGTGACGGCGCTGGTGGGCTTCACCCTGTACCGCCTGCTGGCCAAGAGCAAGTGAGAGCCACGCCCCGCTCCGGCCCCCAGCTCCGGAGGGGCCCCGCCTCAAGCTGGCCCCGGTAGGAAATCCTCCTTTGCCCCCAGCCTGGATTGCAGGAGCAGTGAAGCCAGACCTCGCAGCACCAGCAGGATCAGCCCTGGCACCGGGCAGCCTCAGCCTGTGGCCTCCTGGCCCCCGTGGGCACAGGGCTGGCAGCTCTGCCAGGAGAGCTCTGCCTCACCAGCAGCTGGAGGATCACCCTCGTCTTTTATTCTGTTCAGTTTTTTTAAGGCTTGTTTTTAAGCTCAAACACGAGTGTTTCAGTGTCTGTTGGACTGGGCACGTCCCCTCCCCAGAGGGCTGTGCTGGTGCCCTCAATTCTGGAGGGCACAGCGCTCCCGGGGCCCCGGGGAGCTCCAGCAGCAGCTGAGCTGTCAGATGAGCTCACGGCTGCAGCTCCCGGGGGCTCAGCTCCAGATCCTGTCCCGGTTTCCCTCAGCCAGCACCGGCACAGGGAGCCAGGGAGGGAGGGCCAGGCACTGACACCCCCAGCCCAGTGTGAGGGGTCAGGCCTGGCCCCTCCTGCTGGGCCACAGGGGCTGCTGTCCTGGCCTGAGGGGGGACAGCGACCACCCAGGTTTGTCCTGGGCTCCTTTCTGTTGTTTCTACACAAAGATCTTGTGAGTCCTGCAGCGTGCCAGGCTCCGGGTCCATCCACTCTCCTTTCCTGGCTCCCATTTTGCCTGTCCTCTCCCCACCCTGGCCGCCAGTATTCATGGCCAGCAGTGTTTGCAGGGCTCTGGGAGCCCTGGTGAGGACTGGGAGGGCATTGGGTGCTCACTGTGTGCCCAGTCTGTCCCTGGCAGTGCCATCCCTGAGCTAGTGCCATGCTGTGCCCTAGGCCCTGTGCCCTGCTGTCCCCTCTGTGGGGCCCTGTCCAGAGTGTGAGGCTCTGGGCATTGCATCTCCTGGCACCACTGGAAGCTCCTTCTGTCCTGTCCCCTGTCCCCTGCCCACACCTGAGCTGGTTTCATCTGCTGGCACTGAGCTCAGTCCCTGTGTGCAAGTCCCAAAGAGCCAGACCAGCACCATCCCTGGCTTCCTGGGGAGCCTGGATCAGCCCTGGCTGTGCCACCAGCCTGGCTGTGCTGCCAACCTGGCTGTGCCACCAGCCTGGTCATGTCACCAGCCTGGTCATGTCACCAGCCTGGCTGTGCCACCAGCCTGGCCATGTCACTAGCCTGGTCATGGCACCAGCCTGGTCGTGTTACCAACCTGGCTGTGTCACCAGCCTGGCTGTGCCACCCACCTGGCCATGGCACCAGCCTGGCAGTGGCACCAGCCCGGCAGTGTCACCATCCTGGCAGTGTCACCAGCCTGGCCTTCCCCAGCACGCTCAGGGTTGCTCTCCAGGCAGCTGCAGGGGCAGATCCTAGGGTAGCACCAGAGCTGCTTTTTCTGTGTTTTGTCTATTTAAATGTTTTATGGTGGCCTGAACCAGCGAGGGGATGCAGGAATCGCTGGGCAGTGCCAGTGTCTCTCCCAGGGACAGCCCCAGGGTGGTGTCCCCATCCTGCTGTCCCCAGCTCTGGCCAGCCTGGGCTCTGTGTCCCTGCCTGTGCTGGAGCTGCCCTGCCAGTCGGGCACACACTCAGTGCTGGTCCCTGGCACTGCCAGGGCCAATCCCTCGTGCTCAATGTCCTTCTCTGTGCCCACCGTGCGTGGCTCTGCCAGCCGGGCCCGTGCCTGGCGTTGGTGTCTCCCTGCTCCACATCTGCTGGAGCTGTAATGTTTTAGGTTTGTTCTCTACAGCAAAATAAATTTTTACACACCTTGAGCTTGCACAGTGTCCTGTGTCCCCTGGGGAGCAGGACCCCTGTCCCTGTCACCCAGGCAGGGGGAGCAGAGCCACCCTGAGAGCCTGGGCTGCCCCATCTGAGGGCACTGACAGGGATTCAGGGCCTGGTGTGGTGGGACAGGGCTTGGGGCTGGCCAGGACTCCTTGGTGCTTGGGGAAACGGATCCTTGTACGAGTGCCAGCCAGGGTGAGGTGATGGAGCCCGTGGTTCTCTGCCCAGAATCCACGGGAAGCAGGAGCTTTGGCTGCCCTGGGAGCTGTGATCTCTGTTCCCATCCCTGTGTGGGGTTTGGGGCTCCCCATTTCCCTGCAGTCACCTTCCCCCTGCACCTGCAGCTGCCAGGGCTGTGCCACCTCCCCTCCCTGCTCCTGTTTTCCCATGGCAGCTTTTCCCTCAGCTATTTCTGTCCCTGCCTCAGCCACGGGCGCTGGGCACAGGGAATGTGGGCGCAGCCGGAGAAGAGGATTTTCCAGAGCCTCTGCACTGGATGGGATCAGACTGCTGCCACATGGGGGGGATCCTTGT